CTTTCTTCTCTCTCTCTATCTATCTATCTCTATCTCTCTCTCTCTCTCTCTCTCTCTCTCTCTCTCTCTCTCTCTCTCTCTCTCTCTCTCTCTCTCTCTCTCTCTCTCTCTCTCTCTCTCTCTCTCTCTCTCTCTCTCTCTCTCTCAATTGCCTCGTTTGTTTTATCTATTTATTTCTCAACTTCATCTTGTTCAACCTCTATTCACATCTTTATCTATGCCACTACGATTTATCTTTCTCTTTTTCTTTCTTATTTAATTCTTCCCCTTTTCTCTATTATCCTTCTGACTGGTTATCTAATTTATCTCTCTCTCTTTCTCTTCTTTCCTCTTTTATCTGTCTCTGCCTCTCACTTTCATTTCTTTCTCATGCTTTCTTCTCAGTCTTTTTGTTTCTTCTTTTTCTCATATCCAATTATTCTTCTCATCTTTACGTATTCCAGTTTTTTCTCATTCTGTCGCTTTGTTTCCTTAAGGGCATGTAGTTTCCACGAGGACATTGCGAAACGGAGCTCTGACACACACACACACACACACACACACACACACACACACACACACACACACACACACACACACACACACACACACACACACACACACACACACACACATATTTTTTTCTTTCTTTCTTTTTTTCATTTTCATTTTCATTTTCTTCTATTATGCAATTCCTTTTCATTTGTTTATTTTTTGTTTCGATATGTTTTCGGTATATCTTTTCATTACTATTTTTTTTTTTTTATGATTACTGTCCTTTTCATAATGTTTATTATATGTATTAATTACCATTTTTATAACATATTTCCTAATTCATTTCTTTTTTTATGTTTCCTTTGTTTATTCAGGATTATTTTTTATAGGATATTTCCTTGATTTTCCTCCGTTTACCAATAGCAGCGAGTCCGTTTCCAGGGAACGGTTAGACAGCGCTCCGGACATTGCAAGAGTGGAGCCAAGGTTCCGCGTGACCTTGACAATCACCTACTTAACGAGCGGATGTTGTTCAGGAGGCAATGGGTCTCTACCTCACTCGACTCCCTCACTCGACCCTGGAAATCTACGGAAATTACACTATTGGGCATCCCCTCCTGCTCCTCCAACTCCCTCCTAGCCCCTCCTCCTTCCTGCTGATCCTACCCCCTGGCTCATACTCCTACCCCTTCCTCCTTTCCTGCTCCTCCCCCTCCTCCCCTCACTCCTCCCCTCCGCCGCCCCTTCGTCCACGCCTCCTCCTCCTCCCCCGGCTCGGCCACGCACGCACGCACGCACGTACGAACACACTGGGGTCAAGATAAGGAGGAGAAATATAAGGGAAGCTCAGATCACCTCGATTCTTCGTGCTGTGAGCATCGCGGGGAACACATCACGAATACTTATATATTTACACTGTGTTTATTGCGAGGAAGAAGACGAGGACGGAGAGAAATACGCGGCTGTGAGTGTCTCTTTTGGTGGAATGGCTTGAGCTGTGTCGCAAGTTGGGCTGGTCTGGGCAGGGGCGGCGGGCACCGGCGCCGGGCATTGTGCATTTCAGCGCGTTATCGCACGCGGATGATGATTGCGAAAGAGAGTGCTATGTTGATTAAAGTTTGTTATAGTTTTTTGGTGGAAGGTTGCATCCGACGGGAGTACGTGTGCTCTTTCACTCGAGGAACTGAAATAGCTTTTTTCTTTCTTAACTTGGGCCGCCATGATGAATATACAATTGACCGATACCCAAAAATGGCGATCGGTTATTCATAAAAATTACGAGAAATTCGCAGAAATAGTCTTGTACCGCCTTCACGACCCACCCTCGAGGCTTATCACACGCAGGCTGTTTAAGGCCGTCTTTCTGCAATTGAATTCGCAATTCTATGAACGCTCATGGCCGGCGAATGCGAGTTTCAATCCACTGATCTCAAAAGACGGTTTTGTCTGGAAGGAGAGAACGAGGAAGGATTAAGAAAGTCTCTCATTCTGTGGCGGTTTTAAAGCCCACTCTTTGGCCACCTTTGGGGAGTTGATTCCAATCCTAATGCTATTTTCGTTTGCTCCATTGTCTCGAAATATCAAGGATTTCGTTGAGGGCACGAGAAAGTCTCTTTCAAAATATATTTTCTTTACCTAATACTATTGGTTGTTTTGTGGGTTTGGTGAAATATAGTCGCTATAAAAGTAACAATTCACTTCAGGAAAAGCACGAGAGTAAAAGTCATGGTTGAATATTCAGTTGTTTGTTATATTTTCCTCTTTTAAAAAGACTACTATTGAAATCTTAATTCAAGGTTCTTATCTTTCACCCGCAGTTGCAACATGAAGCGATCCCGTCAAAGTGGCCTTTTAACACAAGTGGCCGTGGTGCTGCTCCTGGCCACTTCAGCACATGCCATGCGACGCAAGTATGAAGGTAAGTCCTTTCTGAGTGCTGACCCTTCGCCCTCTGACACTGCCGCGCCCCCTACGCCTCCCTGGCACCCCTACCCCTCCTGGCACCCACTACCTCTCCTTGGAACCC